TGCCTCCAGAAGCGGTGAATGCTCCAACACTGGAAGTTTTTAAGAAGAGACTGGACAGCCATTTGCCCGAAATGGTATAGGGTTTCCTGCCTGAGCAGGGGGTTGGACTAGATGACCTTCAAGGTCCCTTCCAACTTTACTATTATTATTATTATTATTATTATTATTATTATTATTATTATTATTATTATTATTATTAAGGAGAAGTCAGGGAAACAATAGAAGAAGTTGAGTTTCCATCACTTCTACATATAGCAGAGGAAAACTGTTGCCTGAGAACTTGGATAGTAGCTACTAATCAGTGTAAAGCTACCATGTAGGAGATATTCTTTCAGTTTTGTCATCATTTTGATTTAACTGCCATCTCTGCAGCGGTTTATTTTATTTATTTTTATTTATATATTAAATTTATATGCTGCTCATTTCTCTACCAAATGACTCTGGGCAGTTTATAGTACTTCACCTACATTTTGTATTTTTCCTTAGCAAGAGTATGTATTTCTAGATTTTTTTTTAAAAAAAATTTTTTTTATAACCACATAATTGCCCAGAGGGTTTTGTAAATTCGGCAGAATACAAGCACAGTGAAGCAAGAAATTATCAAGTGTAGGTTGCAGTTCCACAAGGTGGTAGCCAGCAAGGCTTTTATGAGCTCTGGGAATGGTAATTCTAGCAAATAAGAAGGATATTAAGCTTGAAGAGGCTGGTGTAGAAAATCTGAGTGGGGAGGGTTCTGTTGGTTTGATTCCATATAAGAGAGTTTCCTCAATTGCAACTGCTTCCTGTTGAAACTCCTTCTACAGATCATCTGCTTTTCTTCCTCTTAGGACATTCCAAATCCTAGCCATCTGCCTATGGTAGCTGCCTGGAAGACAATGCCTCTCTTTTTTGGTACAGCCATCTTTGCCTTTGAAGGCATTGGAGTGGTAAGTCTTGCCTAGAAACTTAGCTTAAAACAGGGCTATCCAACGTTGGCAACTTTAAGACCTGTAGGCTTCAATACCCAGAATTCCCCAGTCAGCAATTCTGGGAGCTAAAGTCCACAGGCCTTAAAGTTGTCAGGGTTGGACACTCATGGCTGGGAATCTTGTTTTGCTAGGAACTGAAAAATAACTTAGGTCTAGTAGCTTCTCAGGTGGCATTTAGCACATCTGTCTCTTTGCAGCCAGACATGTTTAGTCTTCAAGACTTTGAACCTATGACAAGACCTATGTTACCTATTTTTGTCTATATTTGAATGACAGTCTTTGTATGGCAGCATGTGACCAGTTTGTACCTGACCTGATAATGGCTCACAGCTGTTCTGGAACCAAACACTGTTTTATGTTGAGTTTTCTAACTTAGAGCTCTCATTTAGAACTCTAATTAAAATGCAACATAATGGTATACATGAGTGATCTTATGTTATATAGCTCTAATCTTTTGAACATATCTAGTTTGATCTATTGGAATAAACATGGAAATGTTTGATCCGTTCTGTTACTTTTTCCTTCTCTCTGGCCTAGTCATGTTTATCTTTTATCTTTAATTTGTAGATCCAATTTTCCATAGGGGTAATTAAATTTCTTGAATGATTGTTGCTATTATGAGACATTTTATTTGATTATGTCATGCATTCAAGAAATGAAAACAAGGGTAGAGTCCTGTCAAATGCTTATTAGCTCTCAGCCTATGCACTGACTTCAATTATTTTGTACTCTTTTGTTTTCTTGCTTTGAGGATCATAAGGATAATTTCTGAGGATTCAGGGCAAGACTGAGAATAAATGCTTGTGAGTGCAAGCTTGTCCGATGTGACTGATGGGGTCTGGAATATCTAATGAAGTATTAGGAACTAAGCCAGTTCAATTTTCCTCACAATAAAAACTTTGTGAGGTCAATCAGGCTGAGAGCCAGCGATTGACTCAAAACTTCCACAATTAGTTTTCCTGCTGGCTCAGGAATTCTGGGAGTTGAAGTCCACGAGTCATAAAAGAACCAAGGTTGCCTACCCCTGCCCTAGTCTATTGTGAGAAGGTTAGGTTAATTAGGGGAGTAAAATGATGATTACTGAATATTTTGGGCTTTTTTTCTTCTCCAAGGTGCTCCCTCTAGAAAACAAAATGAAGAACCCTCAGCACTTTCACACTATTCTGTATGTGGGAATGGCCATTGTCACCACGTTCTACCTCAGCTTGGGAACACTAGGATATTTGCGCTTTGGAGCTAACATCCAGCCCAGCATCACTCTCAATCTCCCCAACTGTTGGTGAGTTGAACTGGGAAGCTTTTGTTACCAGGTAGAGAGAAGGTTGAACTACAGGCTACACCTGAATGAGTAAGAATGGAATTGCAGAGATGGATGCCGAAAAGTAAAAACAATTTGCAAAGGTGCTTCCTTTGTAGGGAGGCTCTTAGAGTGTAGTCTCAGTCACTTTCATGTCTTCATTCTTTCTCATGGCCATCATCTCTTATATCAATCCATGTTTCTCTGTGTTCCAAATTTTGCATACTTTGAACTGATTCAAGCATGTTTCAAATAGTGCATTTTGTACTAGGAGAAAGACCAGTACTGCCACAGAAACATTTGAGAATGCAGAGCAGCTGTCCCCTGTAATTGGGTTATCTCTTAGGTCAGGGGTGTCAAACTGCCGGCCCCTCGGGCTGGACGCATCATCCGGAAGCCGTGCCCACCCCATTGCCAGCAATGGCAAAACTGTCCTGATACGTCTCGCGACGTCATGTGACATCGCGAGTTTGACATGTCTGTCTTAGGTTATCACATTCTCATTCATGATCCTAGGAACCAAGAACTACTTATATTAGCTGACTAAACATATTGCACAGTGGTGGGATTCAAATATGTGAACAACCGTTTCTCTGGGTGGATGCTGCTTCCAGACGTCCATTCTGGGCCTGGGCAACAAAAAATTAGCTACTGGTTATGCCGAAGTGGTGCGAACTGGCTGAATTCCATCACTGATATTGCCACATATAGGACATCATCACATTGGCTTAGAATACCTCATTGGAAAATTTGTCACTGATGATAATAAAGTTGTCTAGTCTTAACTCCCATAACTCATTCTCCCATTTCTAATTCTGATGGAAGCCATGAGAAATTCAGCCCCCCTTCTTCTACTCCAACCCCCCCGCAGGTTCTCTAATTCATAAATTATTGTATGGAGATGATTGAATCAATTTTTCTTTTTTATCAATTTCTAATAGAAATTCTTAGTTTAATATGACATCAAAACTGACAGAACATATTTCCGTGTCAAAATTTCAGTAAGGAGGTATGAGTTATATAGTGCGACAATATATAGAGGATATCCAAGAAAAGCAATGTTGCAGAACTGTACTTGGGATAAAAAAGTGTATTTTAGGTTCCAGTTCTTTCTGTTTATTTTTTGTGGTCACTAAAGATAAACAGAATTAATTCCATAGGAGAGAGAGCCTATATTCATGTGTTGATTTTTAATATATTTTTTAAAAAATATATGCTATATTATTTTCAAAACTCAAATTTACAATAATTTTGATAATCCAAGAATGGGCAGCTATGTCCTTTATTAAACTCAGTCCCATCAACTCTAGCAATATATCTTCCAACAACATTTAGTTAGCACTGCCCTCTAATTTTATAATAGTGATGCAACCAGCTATCGGCTGTATCTGTCTCATGATGGCATATAAGGAGTTTGATTTCTGATGACATTAGAAATTTCTCACTATTTGAAAAAAGAAGGCTTTGAAATAAAACTTGTTGCATCGTTGAGTGAGTGCTCAGTTTTAAACAGGAATCCATGCCTTTAAAAACTCACAAAGTCATAAGTAATTTTGAACAAGTACTTTAGCAGTTGTCATATCAGGGTCAGGCAATTTTTCAATATTCCTTTGACTCGTTGCTTTGCTACAAGCCTATTGGAACTGGTGTTGTGGCTTTCTACAATATCCAAAGCCCTGATTCAGGAACAACACTTTCTTTCCTCAAGGGAGACTGACTTACTTTTAGCTCCTTACTCATGAGCCAAATTTCCCTAGTGGTCTCTGGATTAGGGTGCACAAACATTTTCAAATGGTGTAATCACTGCACTGACTTCAATTTTTTATTTGGTTTTTCACCAGGAAGCTGAGTGAATTTAATGGTTGTCTCTTTCCTCATTTTTGCAGGTTGTACCAGTCTGTCAAGCTGCTCTACTCCCTCGGAATCTTCTTCACTTATGCTCTGCAGTTCTATGTCCCTGCAGAAATAATAATTCCTGTGGCTGTTTCCAAGGTCCCTGAACGCTGGAGATTATGTTGCAAACTGCTGCTGAGAATATTCCTGGTCTGCGTAACATGTGAGTGGTGAGAGTTTTCTTTTCACTTGGCAGGTAGAGATTTAGCCCAAGGGATGCTTTATTGCGGTAAAGATATTGCTAAGAAAATTACTGGGCTCTATAGAAAATAAAAATGGAGGCTGAGTTCAGGCAGTGCTTTTGTTTGGTGAAAAAATACACCCCCTACACCAGAGGTGGGGAACCATGGTCCCTTTATGACTTATGGACTTCAGCTCCCAGAATTCCTGAGTCAGCATGGCTGGCGCAGGAATTCTGGGAGTTGAAGTCCACAAGGCATAAAAGAGCCATCATTCCTCACCACCCCTGCCCTACACCTACATCAAAAGGATAACAGTGAGCTGCAAGATTGATCTGCAGTGTCTTAGTTGCCAAAAAAAAAAGGTAGATATGTGAAAAATTCTCTTAGGTTGCTGCGGTGATGTGACTTGTCCAATATGGTGGCCACCTCATGAATAGAGGGTCATCCCTCATGACACTCAGGTCATGGGTCTCAGAATTCCAAAGGTGTTCATTGCCTCAAAACATCTGAGGACGCCTGACTAATGCAATAGCTTTGTACAGATATTTGAAATAAATAATATTGTTGCTAGATTCGAGAATTCATTCTGAGCTGTTTACAAATCCCACCTCTGAGCTTGAAGAGTGTATATACTGATGGCACATTTTGTCATGATTCAGTGCCGTCTGTTTAATTTCACGTCCCCTTCTGTTTTGCCAGAAGAGTTTATTACGGACTAAAAATCTACTCTGAAATTAAAACGATGTTTATTTCATTTGAAGTTGTAGTAAAGAAAGGCTAATTACCTCAGCTGCTTGCTCTTCAGCAGGCATCTTCCCTGACAAAGCTTTTATTTCCTCCTTTCCTATCCCTCAGGTGCCCTCGCAATACTGATTCCTCGCTTGGACATTGTCATAGCTCTGGTAGGCTCGGTGAGCAGCAGTGCTCTAGCACTTATTATCCCACCCATCTTGGAGATCTTCACCTATTATTCGGAAGGCCTGCACCCGCTCATCCTGGCCAAAGACATTCTCATCAGCCTCTTTGGTATTACTGGCTTTGTTGTGGGGACATATGAATCTCTCTATGAACTGATTGTACCAACTGTGTCCAATGCCACCACTGCTTTACCATGACACTGTAACCTGTTTCACTTTGAGAAGATATCTTCAGTTCGTATGGAACTTGAGTTTCTCCATAGCAACTGCAGAAACCTGGGGCTCCTCCTTGCTTTTATAAGTTAAACAGATACAGCTATGGTTAAAAAGAAGGGGCTCTTATTTATTTATGCTTCTTTTTTTGTATGGGGTTGATTTAGGAGACGTCATAAAAAACAAAAAAAAGGGTGCTCCATTATGATTATCCTTACCTGGAAGAAATTGAACGTCTTGCAAGCATCTTGGATTTTACTAGATTTCTAAATCAAGAGCATTGAATGTGGGGAGAATTAAGAATCCTAATATTCCTCACCAGATCATTTTTATGAAGTCTTTTGAGCATCATGTTATCAGTTCATTTTTATTTTCATTGTTCTTGTTTTAAACTGCTTCAGGCTACCAATTTAGAAACTATTGTCTCATTTCTAAAATAAATTCCTCCTTTTGGATAGTTGCATGAAAAGCGAGATATAGCTTGAAAATGATAGCTAACACAGAAGAGGGAAGCGCAAATGAAACTCAGTGTGTAATATTATAATGCTCTTATCTCATGAAGTTTTGTGTCTATTGGTAATAACACTGAAAACTAAAAATAGTATCAAGCTGCCTAATCTATAATTTTCAGGCAACACCAATTGGACTGCATATAAAAAGGGAAATAAGGTTTATATTGCCAAATCCAGCACCGTGCTAGTCTGACTCTATAGCAGGGTTCATATCAAAATGCTATGGGGAAAAAGATACGTGTATGAGCTGGATAGGGGATTGAAAAGTGTTTTTAAAGTTTTTTTTATAGTTGTGGAAACAATAGGATATTGTAAACCAATTATCTATTGTAATCTTTTGCTTTGTTGTAGCTTCAAGGTACATTCACTAAGCATACTTTTGAAAAAATGGAAAAGCTATGCCCTGAATGTCATGATTATAATCCAATTTCATGTAAACAATAATTTCACATGAGTATATGTATATACACTATAAAAAACATAAGGTGAGTCAGATGCATAGTTGTAACTTCTGAATTATTTTGCTTCTGGATTATGGAAACACTTTGAGAACTACTTAACAATTGTAGCCAATTAGCATGTGTACATAGGTTAAATTCATGGGCCCAACTTTCACGGTTTTCTTATTTCACATATAAGAGGCCCTGAAAAGCTAGCCAATCAAAATAGATAAATAAATTGATTGAGCAGGCACATGGAGATTCTTATATTAAAAGTGCAATACACATCCTATTTTCTATTATTTGCCTTTGTTCTCAGGAACACTGAATAGTTTACACTAAGGTTATTTTCAAAAAATTTCTTCCTAAGATTTTAGCTGCTTCATGGCATTATTAAGTATTTGATACTACCATTTTTGTTTTCTAAAACAATCATACATGTGGCTTGAATTGTGGCTTCTTCTGTATTTATCTAATTAGCCAAGGGATCTGAATTTGACTGTAGACCTTAAATTATAATTAAAATGCAATTTACCAGGAAGCAATTTGTGCTCCCTGAATTTAGTAGGGCTTATTTCTGTTGGGTTATGACTTAAAAAAAGGAAGATGGGATGCATATCATTGTTTATCTCTTCCAGTAAATTGTGATTAGGTTGTATCTTTTAGCTTTTTTCACGAATAGCCACACAGGATGAAGAAGGGAACGAGGAATTATCACTCTTTAGATATGGCACCCAAATACTTATTTAACACTTTAAATAGATATTGAAATGTAGATTTTATGAATGATTTTGGGAAGGTTTTGTAGTCTGTTTTTAAATATCATTGTAATGAATTATCTACTTTTTATGCATTGCTATATGGTTGATGCAATAATTAAATAAATTGTAAGTTAGCTTCCTATCCCCTTTCTCATTCTTCTGAAGCTATAGATGTCTCATTAACTCTGGGATATACTTGGGGTTTATATTTCTCTCCCTATATAGTAAAGCATATGAGAAAATAGACAAATATTCAATATTCTGGTCTTGGCAACATAATGGTGAAATGTAAATTAAAACTGCTTTAAATTTTGCCTGTGAACCCAGGACATTAAGACATGAGCAGAGCCCTGCAGATTAATGGTATTGCAAGTTTTTACCATGATTAATTAGAACCTTGGCCAGGTAGCTAGAGTAGTCAAGATGAAATAAAATTTAAATGTAGAATAAAATAGAATAAGAGAGTTGGAAGGGACCTTGGAGGTTTTCTAGTCCAACACCCTACTTAGGCAGGAAACCCTATACCATTTCAGACAAATGGTTGTCCAGTCTCTTCTTAAAAACTTCTAGTGTTGGAGCATTCACAACTTCTGGAGGCAAGTTGTTCCACTGATTAATTGTTCTGTCAGGAAATTTCTTCTTAGTTCTAGGTTGCTTCTCTCCTTGAGTGGTAATGACACATTTCTAACTTTAAAAAAACCCTGATATTTTGACTTCGTAATTATTACAAACAGTAGAATTGATAAGATTGTGCCTGTGCACTCTTGCAGTTGTAGCATCTTGAACTGTTATAAGTGATTATGTGAATATTTAGCACATCCATTTTACTGAAACAGAAGCAGAATGGATGCAGAAAGTAGAGAAACAAGGGAACTTAATGAAGTCGCAAAGAAACATTATTGAATTTGATACTGGCTTTTTAACTTTGGGATTATCCCATTTTTCAATAGCAAGTGCCATTAAGACCAATTTGGTAGATGTTAAGTATAACCTCCATAGAAAATGCAGGATTTTAACATTTACTGATTTGTAGATTTCCCATTATTTGAAAAGTTGATCATCCCATAATATTGCATTGATAGCATTCTGCTAGTCCCTGCGTGCCCAAGGTTGGCTATTAGTTATATTCGTCACAGCCACTGAATGAAATGAATTTGTTCACTTATATCTCAATAGATGCCTTAATATGTCTGTAATTTATGGTTCTATAAAACTTTGTATTCTGATGGAACACAATGTGAAGCATTCTTCTCTGTGGGAATAGTATTTCTTTTTGACTTCTAGAGAATGAACACTTTTTCCAGTCAGGATTTTAATGAAAAAAGTCTACATCAGACATTACCGCTAATTATAACCTATATCCTTGGCATTGTGGCTGGTGGCCTTGTCTGGTTATATATGTTAAAATTGCCTGCATACAATTATCTTTTACGGTTTCTTTTTCTTTCCATTTAGAATAAACTGTGGCCTATTTGTATTTTCTTGCTCAGCACAGAAAGAGGCGGTTTTGAATTACTGAATTATCTATACACTTGCTTCCAGTAGACCTCACAGAAGGATAAAGCTACAGCATTTGTTCTGTATAATTACATCTTAAGAGTTTTTTTATTTTTTGTCTAGTTGTGTCTGTAATGTAGTTGTCCCCCATCCTGGTCCTCCTCAGATCCCATACTGAGTCGGTAATTATGGGATTTGAAGTAAACATTTCTGATGTCTCTCTCCATAAGTTATCTCTGCTATCTGGTCTGGTCTGTCTCTGATAATGGATAAAAGGGCATTTCAGTGTCAATCAGGTCTGCTTACTTTCGTTTTATTTATTTGTAAAAGAAGTGACTGCACTTGTGAAACTGGATATGTGCAAAATCCAAACACAGCTTTGGTATTCCCCAAACGTTTATGACTATCAGAGTCCCCAAAACTGACTTCCAAAGGGGACCACATGGAAGGTATTGAGATCAATGCATACAGCTAAGAAATTGGACCACTACATATTTGGAAACTAGATGAAAGCCCCAACTAATGTTTGTAGAGAACTTTGGGAACAGTTTCTAATTCCTTAAGGTTACTCTTAATTTACCACTTTGGACCTTTGCCTTCAATTGGATATACTGTTGCTCCTTTTAGGGTAGCTTGGTGACACATATTTAAATATGGTGCAGAATTAAGCAAATATATTTTGGGTAACCTAAATTTCAGAAGTGGATGCAATTATCCTCAAATGTTTCCACAAGGAGTGACTTTGAAGATAGAAAACGATGTCTGTTTGTGTGTCTATCGAAGCAGTCAATGTTTATTTATTTGTGCCTACATGTGTGTATAGCAAGCCACTATGTACATTGGGTGTTCTCTGTAGGAGACACAGATGATGTTATGTATGATAATGCTGTAACTGAAGGATATATTTTAGTGGATGTTTCATTCAATAAATTCAGTTTTTTTTTACTGTATTATAAGGTTCCACACTGACTTTGTTTTTTTTCATATTGCTTATAATTTATAATACTTAACAAAGATGAATAAATAAAGTAATAACAAACATGCACTGGCTATTCCTCAACATGGTATCTGAACTAAAAACTACACAAAATCAAGGCAGATGTTCTTGTTAACTGTTCACAATTTAAATAAGCTAACAAACCTGTGACAAGACACACACTGACAGAGTTGCAATACAAGGTATTCCTGCTTGGCATATAAGAATATATCAGGCAAATGTGTGCTCCAGTTCTTTAGACAGTGAAAACTCAGGATGGTGTAGTGGTTGCTGCAGTAGGACTGGAGAAACCAAAGTTCAAATCCACATTCAGTCCTGAAAGCTCTGTCCAACCTACAGTCAGGGTGGTGTTTTGGGATGAAATAAGTCATAAAGTATGCTTATATGTAACTGAGCAAATACAGAAATTTAGGAGGTCTGGTGGCGCAGTGGTTAAAGTGCAGTATTGCAGACAAATTCTGCCCACAGCCTGGAGTTCGATCCTGACGGGGCTCAAGGTTGATTCAGCCTTCCATTCTTCCAAGGTCAGTAAAATGAAGAGCCAGTTTGTTGGAGACAATATACAGTACTGACATTTGTAAACCACCCAGCAAGTGCTGTAAAGCACTATGGAGCTGTATATAAGTTAGTGTTATTGCTCTTTAGGAAAGTAGCTTTTTATGATAAATTGGGATATATGTAGCCTTGAGAATTCGACTTATCAACATCTCTATCTTTCAGGTCTTATGACTCAAGTTGAATCCTCTACTCACATAATATCCATTAACAGACATTTTAGTCAAGAATTAAGAATCGGCAAGGAATAAAAAATCTTGGAACAAAACTCTCAACTCATCCACTCATCTGCCTCTATCAGAATGCTTTGGATGTTCCATATTTCATCAAAACAAAACTAAAAAAAAAAAAAAGTTCTGTCGTAGGGGACACTGATATATTGAAAAAAGTTCTTGCTGTTTCAATTTGAGTCATAAGACCTGAAAGATAGAGATGTTGATAGTCAAATTCTCAAGGCTACATATATCCCAATTTATCATAAGAAATTGGCCAACATAAATATATTTGTTTTAAGTATTAAATATTTTTAAAATGTCCATGATAAAGGAAAAGATAGTGGCCAAAGGGAATGGATTGTTGTTGGATGATCTCAACTTATGAATGGAGGGTAGCCAATCATTAAAATATAAGCATAAGCGTAAATAATTTGAAGCCCCAACCATCCTAAATTGGCAGAGCAACAAAGGCTGCAGAAAATTCTCCAGTTTCTTGGCTTTCTTTGATGACTGCATTCTTCCCTCTTTTAAGCTCTTTATGCAGAAACCTGGGGGAGGGCAGTTCATAACATTCCTTTATAAATCTTGAATACCTGAATGATTATCCACAGATGTGTTAAATTGTTTTCTGTAAAAATAAAAATGGACACAGATTTTCACTTGGTTGTTAGATGAATGACTTGCTTTTCCAACAAAGCTTGCTTCAGTTTTCCTACCCTACCCTGCTATCCCTAAATGACTTCAAATTCATTCCATGGAAGTTAGCAAGTATAATATCACATGCTTTCCCATGTGATTTACTTTCTCTGGGAACAATTTCTGGTTATCACGAAGGTTCCTTGGTCATAAAGGGAAGACAAAACACTTTTGCTTAAGAATTTAGTCACTATAATTAAGGATACAAGTAAGCAAGCATTGAAAGACAGTGCCACCGAATTGGTATTATTGATGGTATCAAGTCACCAGCGTTTTTATCATATTGTCAGACATGCCTCAGATTGAGTCTCTAAGTAAGAATGAGCCTTAACAT